CAGAGCTGAGATCTTTTGCTCTTCTCTTCACCGTCTCCACTTTATATTGGTTGGGTAGCGGGCAGTCTTGCCCTGGCAGCTGTATATTGCTGTGACTTTGTCCAGATTGTCAACTCCTCCTCTGGTTGAGTTATAATCCAGGATCATTTGTGCCTTCAAGTCCTTTCTTGTGCTCAGAGATATATCAGCTTTTATTATAATATATATTATATATTATAAGAACCTTCTGTTCCCAACATGGTCAGCTTTCTTTTCTGAAGTTCTTCTCCAAACAGGTAGGACATAGAGGTTGTCACAAGTGATGTTATGACTTGCAGCCCTTCATTCATCCCCAGCATCAAACACATTCCCTGATTCTTCTAAGCTTTTCCTCCAGATAGCTTTCCAGTATATACTTGCATATTCCATGCATAGCTGGATTTTGCACCTCAGGTTGCCCATATTATGATATGGGCATTCTGAGCAATGCTGACTGAATCTCTTCAATTCATGTGATTGAAAATCTGGTAGGACCAGGAGTTTTTATCAAATTAGCTGATGATAGTCTGCATCAACTCTGGTGTTATGATGTTGTCACTCTTGCAGAAGATGATTGCCTCGTTCCTGGGCTTTCATCTGTTCGGGGGATAATAGAAGACTCTTCCTCTGAATCCTTCTCATAGTAAGAGAATTGATCATGTGGGTCAACAATAACTTTGTCTTCTGATTCTGGAATATCCTCTGCCTTAGAAAACTCTTGCTCTACATCACTATCCAAGTTCAAAATTTGTGAAAAAGACTACTCAGCTGTAATCCTTCAAGAGCTAAGTTTTTGGTGAGTTCTTTCATATAGATGACGTGAGAGCAGTGACAAGAACCAGTGTAAGAAAGTTCCCTCCCTTACCACACCTGGGTCTGGGTCTCAGAGGCAAATGAAAAGAGTAAAGTACATCAAGGAGCCATTTTTATTTACCTGAATGGCTACTTACCCACATTAAAGTGTCCGGGTCAAATTGACCAATAACATCATATTTGTATACATACTCTGCACAGACACTCCACTACACATCAGAGTGGCCAGATTTTATATACATGTTCATGACCCCAGATGAGGAAAAGTCACCAAATTTCATGAAGAAGAAAAAAAGATAACCAGTACTTTCATCAACACAAAAACTGAAATGGGTCAAATTGACCCTTAACATAATATGGTGACCTTAGCATACGGAGCACTTTTAACATATACTGGTTGGGCCAGTTCTGCGGCATAGTTTAGAAAGATGAAATGGTACTCTGTTCATAAGCACTCAAATAAAACCTTAGAGTATAACAAATTCTAGTTGCATTGTTTTCATTTAATTTTTTATTTAAAAAAAAAAAACTTTATATAAAATGTTCAGCAGCTACCTATTAATGTTCTCATTTTGAAGGCAATAAAC